GGTTCCTAGAACAGTACTCATGTAGCAAAAACTAAAACTAAAAAAATTAAAAATTCGGGGGCAGGGGGAGGACAATCAGGGCTTCACCTAGTGACTTTGAAAAGGTATTTGGAGTATGGTTGGTGCTGGGAAGGGACAAAGGAGGTTATTAAGGCGAAGGGAAGAATATACACAAACCACTGAAGGGGAAAGGATCTACGGAGGGATAGTAGGAGGGCTTGGAGAGAGAGGGGTTAGGAAAGTACTGAGAATTTTGAATAACCAGGTGAGTCACTAGAGGGCCGAACGAACTAGTGAGATGAGCGTCACTGAAGACCTAGTGGCGTTTAGAAACCATCACTATGTAACGAGGTCCAGCTATGATTGTGCAACATATCTATAGGTTGATATATAAATATAGATATTTATGATGAAACCAGAGTTTGCTGTTTGAGTAGACTAGAAAGATGAGAGTGAGGAAGTTGAGGGCACCGAAAGATGTGATGGTAGCAGTGCACCAGGGGTCTGGTCCACAGAGGAAAGGAAGGGAGAGCAGTGTGGAGCTGATAGAATGGGAGAAAGAAAAGAGGTGGACCAAAAGATAAGGGTCTATGGGAATGAAGGAACTGGGGAGTTGTCACCAGAGTGTGGTGCTGGTGTTGCAGATGGCAAAGGGGAAGCAATTCCAGGAGATGATCCAGTTTAGGGTCTACACTGAAACGGAGTCAGGTGAGATGGGCTTGACTGGAATTGGGTCCTATGCGCACCAAGCCGGTGTAGGGGACACCGAGGGTGTTGGAAGGAAGGATGGGTGGAAGGATGGCAGAACTTGGAGGAGTCAGTTGAGGCCGAGGAACCAAGTCTTCAGTGAATGTGGAAGAAAGACCCCAAAGCTAGTAGACAACAGCAACAAGGAAGGGTAAAGGTGAACTTCAATGAGTTTCAAAACAAAAGGGAGTTCCCTGCCACCAAGAATGACAGAGCAGTCGTGGAAGAAGCAGTAAGGATTTGGGGATGGTGATAACTTCTGGGAAAATCAGCAGAAACTCCACTCGGCAGGAACAGTAGGGAAAACCATGGAGGCCAAGAAATGATTTTTTTTTTTTTTTTTTTTTTTAGGGAGAAAACACCTTGTAAAAAGGCCGGAAGCACAGAGGGGTTTGTTGTGAAACAAGTCTTCCAGAAGACCCAGTGGAAAGGATGCTTGTGAAACAGGTTGGCATCGATGGTAATACTTAATACCTGCCACATACTTAAGGTTTCCTTCCACATTTCAGCACTTCATTTCCTCTTTACAACCAGGACAGTTATTATGCTCCCCTTTTTATAATGAAGAACTTTAAAGATGTGAAGTGTCCTCACCGAAATGACTGTCCCCAAAGCCAAACTCTTCACCACAGGATATAAGACCTCATCCTTATTGTATTAATCTACAAGGTGAACAGCTGGAGGATATTTTGTGACTACAAAGGGATTATTATAACTATTGCATTATTAATCCAAAATGGGAAAAAATTTGAGCAGAAAAACAAATTTGATAACAGGGCTTATTTTTTTTTAATTGAAGTAGAGTCTGATAACATGGTTTAGATTGATTTGTTTGGCATAAGAGTGTTTATGGCCTGCATAGCATTGAGGAGTTAAAAAAAAAAGCTAAAAAAGAAGTCTGTCATTAAGTTGACTACTTGTGTTCTTTTACAGTATTCTGTTTTGAAGAATTCTGCCCTTCAGAATGATTGGAAAACCATCTGTCCCCCAGGGAACACGGCCTTCAACGTGGTTCGGGGTGTCCTGGAGTTAGCGCAAGAGTAAGGCTGAATGGGGTGGGCCCTATCTCTGCCATCAGGCCTTTCACAGAAACTTGCAGGACAGAAAGGATGAGTAACAGGTCAAAATTATTCACCTATTAAGTGATGGAGTTAGAACCCCTGTCCTAGGCTTCCGAATGAAATTCCAGGCTCATTCCAGTCACTCTTGAACCAAACATCTTCTTTCTGGAAAGTGTTGACCACTTTCAGATTCTCACTGACTGAATCCTGAAGGAATTGGTCCTAAGATATTTCCTGCCTTTCAAAGCTTAATCAATACCCAGACTCTCTCTAAAAACAGGTTGGAATGTCATTGATGCCACTGAATTGTACATTTAACAATGGTTAAATGAAACCGATTATACCTCAATAAAAAAAGAGAGATGAAAGGAAGATCCCATAAATTAAAGGAAACACAAGAGACATAATTTTAATATATGTTATGTGGGTTCTGATTCTAGTAAACATTGTCAAAAACTATTTTTAGGACTATGGGAACTCATAGTGATTACTGAATGGATATTTGATAAAATTCAAACCTAATTGCTCATTTAAAAAATGGTTTAAATGGCAAATTTTATGTCATATATATATTTACACAATTTTAAAAATTAATAGTGTAATGCACCAAAAACCATTGAATTGTACCCTTTGGACAGGTATGTATGGTATGTGAATTATATCTCAATAAATTTGTTTGGAAAAATAATAGGTTGGGCTTGTTAAGCTAAAGTCCTGAACCAGAATTGTAAATATACCTCAGGCTGGAAAACTGGAGAGTAAGGACTGTAATCTGTCCTGGACATAATCATGCAGGTCACTGGAACTAGGCTACTCTTCCTAGGAGGGAGGCGGAATACATAATGCTTGAGACTGTGTTCGGGAAGTATGTTCATGAACTCCCTGCTCTGAAGGGGCAATTGTTCACTTGGCCAGTTTTTTGTTCATTTGTTTACATGTTATTGTGGGAAGAGTTAAATTTACAGAAAAGCAGACACAAAAGTCCAGCTTTAACAATTATCAATCCATGGCCGGGTTTGTTTCATCTGTATCCCCACCCATTTCCTCCCATCCTATATTAATTTGAAGCAAATGCCAGACATCCTATTATTTCATTGGTAAATATCAAAAACTCTCTACAAGATAAGAACTCTTTTAAACACACACACAATAGAACTACCACAATTTAAAAATCAATAATTCCTAAGTCCATCAATGCATAAACAATGAATGGGTAAATAAAATGTGGAATATACATAAAATGGAAAATTATTCAGCCTTTTTTAAAGTAGCTTTTTTTGTGTTATATTCACTCATTTGTTTTATTTTTTAGATTTCACATACGTGTTTGTCTTTCTCTGGTTTAATTCAGTAAGCATAATACCCTCCAGGTCCATCTATGTTGTTGCAAATGGCAAAACTTCATTGTTTTTATGGCTGAGTAGTATTCCTGTGTGTGTGTCTGTGTGTGTGTGTGTGTGTGTGTGTGTGTGTGTGTGTGTGTGACATCTTCTTTAACCATTCATCTGTTAAACCATTCATCTGTTGATGAACACTTAGGTTGCTTCCACATCTTGGCTACTGTAAATAATGCAGCTGTGAACATTAGGGTGCATGTATCTTTTTAAATTAGTGTTTTCATTTTCTTTGGCTATATACCCAGGAGAGGAATTGCTGGATCATATGGTAGTTCTATTTTTAGCTTTTTGAGGAAACTCCATACTGTTTTCCACAGTGGCTGCACCAATTTACATTCCCACCAACAGTATATAAGGGCTCTATTTTCTCTACATCCTTGCCAACATTTGTTATTTGTGGTCATTTTGATGATAGCCATTCTGACAGGTATGAGGTGATTGTAGTTTTGATTTGCATTTCTCTGATAGTCATGTTGAGCATCTTTTCATGTGCCTGTTGGCCACCTGTATGTCTTCTTTGGGAAAACGTCTATTCAGGTCATCTGCCCATTTTTTAATCAGATTGTTTGCTTTTTTGTTTTTTGATATGGAGTTGTATGAGCTGTTTGTGTATTTTGTATATTAACCCCTTATTGGTCATATCATTTGCAAATATTTTCTCTCATTCAGTAGGTTGTCCTTTCATTTTGTGGATGGTTTGCTTTGCTGTGCAAAAGCTTGTACATTTAATTGGGTCCCATTTGTTTACCTTTGCTTTTGTTTCCTTTGCCTTAGACAGATCCAAAAAAAAATATTGCTACAATTTATTTCAGAGTGTTAGAGGCAGCCTTTTTTAAGGCAGAGTTTTAAGGAAATTCTAACACATGCTACAATATGAACGACCTCGAGGACATTTGCTGAATGAAATGAACCAGTCACAAAAATACAAATATGGTATGAGTCCACTTACATGAGGTTCCTGTAGTAGTCAAAATCAGACAGAGAGTAGCTTGGTTACCGAGGGCTGCGGGGAGGGGAAAAAAGAGTTGTTTAATGGGTACAGAATTTCTGTTTTGCAACAGGAAAGAATTGTGGAGACTGGATGCACAACAATGGGAACGTAGTTACTACTACTGAACTGGACACTTAAAAATGGTTAAGATGGTAAATTTTATGTTTATCTAACACAAGTAGAATTTTTTTTAACAATCTCTTAATCTAATCAACTATCTGGTGCCCAAATTTCCAATTCTTATAAACGTCATACTTCCCTCCCCTCTTGTGTTTGTTTGAATTAGGGTCAAATAAAATACACAAGTTGCCATGAGGTCTCTTAAATCGTTTTTCATCTATAGGTTCCCCTTCCCCCGCTTCCTTGCAATTTATTGGAAGAAACAAGGTCGTTTGCCTGTTGTCCCTCACAGCCTAGATTCTGCGCCTGCATCCCATGGTGTCCTTTAATACTTCCCTCTGTCCTCTGTGTAACCTGCAAATTGGTAGGCGGACCCAGAGGCCCTGGGCTAGTTTTGACGTCGACTCCAGAGAAAGCTAAGACATCCATTTCAGCGGGGCTGGACCAGCTGGACCTGAACAGGGGAGGTTAACCCACAGCCAGGCTGCTTAGAGTGACAAAGACGCGGCTTCCACGCCTAGGTTAATCACTTACAAAGCCTGGGGAGAGGGAAAAGAGGCGGGGCGAGACAACGTGGGGAAATCCCGTTGCCGGGTTTCCACGCGCGTAATTAAGTTACGAAATAATCAGCCGGCGGTAAGGCGGGGCCTTTGGCCGGACGTGACGCATGAGCGGCCGGCGGCGGAGTCGCCGTAGGGGCGGGGCGACGAATAGACTGGCTGCTCCGGGGTCGGACTTCCGGCTGTCGCCCTGGGGGACGCGTTGTGTGGAGTCCTGGGGAGGTGGCACCCACTAGGGTCTTCGGTGACCCGAACCGCGGTGGCGGCCCCGCGGGCGTGATGTTCCGGGGTTTGAGCAGTTGGTTTGGCTTGGAGCAGCCGGCGGCGGGTGGCCGGCAGTCCGAGGGAAACGGGCAGCCCAAGGGAGACGCTCCACCCCAGCAGCGCTCCGAGACGGTGGTGGAGTCGGCGGAGGGGGAGCCACAGCAAGCCGGGGACCAGGAGCTCCTTCACCAGGCCAAAGGCCTTGGCAGTGAGTCTCCCCCGGCTCCCGGGACCAGAGATTTTTGGAGAGCGCCCGCATCCTTCCTCCTGACGGCCCTGGGCGTGGACCACCACTCGTCAGGGGGTGTGGGGTGGGGAGAAGGTGTATCTGTTGGTCGGTCCTCTCAGAACTGGAAAGGTTGGTGAGGATCTGGGCAAGGCCCAACCTTCATCTAGCAGTGAAATCCTGTGCTTGAAGTTCCTGGTGACATGTCAGTCTTTGCCAAGTGTGTCAACATTGGGAGCAGGGCCGCGGTAAAGCGGTGGGGCGCGACGTCTTTAGGTTTGATGAGGAATCTTTTTTGTTGAACTCGCCAACTTTCACCTCGACTACCGCCCACCCAGAGGACAGGGGACTTTGGGGACCTCGAGTTGTTTGAAAAAGTGTCTTTTTGCCCTTAGGTCGGAATGTGTCGTCCGAAATAAATTGGAGAAGAGTTACTGAAGGCCTGGGGCAGGCAGGCTTATCTCCTTTGAGATGCATTGGGACCTTTTTCCTTAAGGCAAGAAAGTAGTTGCCAATTCTTGTCTGTGATGTGCAAGTTTAGTACTAGATATTTTGTGAACAATATCTCACTTCATCTGTTTAAACACCTCGTTGACTTGGGACGACGAGTGTAGAGTTAGTGGCCCAAAATTATACTGATAATAAATGGTAGAAATGGAATTTGAACCTAGAGCTGTCTAGTGTCAAAGCCTATGCTCTTTCCCAGCTTACAGTCTAGTTCGGGAGGAGGGTAAAAGTAATAGCTTGCAGAATAAACACATGCCGTAGTAATCCTGCTCCCGGAGAGACCTTGGCAGGCTTAAATAAATAGTTAAAGAAACCATCTTTGAGAAGGTGGGCCTAGAGCAGACAGCACTACAAGGGAGAGAACTTCAGTAAAGGTAGATACTACATTTAGCCATTTAGCAAGCATTTTCGAAGAATTTACTACAAATACTAAAAGGCAAGAGCATAGCACAGGCTGGATCTTGAGAGTGAAGAAACATGTCTTTGGATAAGAAAGGCTTTAACATTCAAAAACTTTACTGTGGGGTGGAGAGGCAGGGAAAATAGGCATAATCTCAAATCATGGCAGTACACGATCTCAGCCCCCAAGCCCCCAAAATGCACAAGGTAAATAAAACTAAGTGCTATGCAATAATATCACTAAAGGGAGAGGGAGTTATAGCTCAGTGGTAAAGTGTGTGGTTAGCCTGCACGAGGTCCTGTGTTCAATCCCCAGTACCTCCATTAAAATAAATAAATAAAGCTAAATTACTAACCCCCCTAAAAAAAAGACAAAATAATATCACTAAAGAGGGAACAACTATTTCCCCTCTGGAAAGTTGGGAATAAATAAGCTTGGAATATTTGAGAGATGTGAGGAGATAGATTTGACTAGAGCAAAGAAGCTATGTTAGGTAGTTGGGATAAATAAAGATGATACCACCTTAGGAAAAGCTGGGTATGGTTGTTTCCTTGATCTCATAGAGTGTGAAGAACCATTTCCATTTCTGGTCAGAGGAGTATCAAAAGTGGCTTCTTAAAACTTTGGGTTTTATTGAAACCTCACATTTGTATTTAGTAATAAAGACCTGTGAATATTTTTTAATAAGTATGTTTTCAATATGGATGTCAACTTTAGAGCTTAACGCTGCCATCTCTTTCCTCTCCAGACTCCCTTGAGGTTGGGAGGCTAAGGTTAGATGAAGTACTTTCCCGCCCACACACACATTATGAATGCAGTTTCTGAATAATAGAGCTCGTTTGGCTCCGAAATTTATTTGATTTTAAGGAGATGAAAAAGTCCTAGTTTGTACACAAACCTTCAAAAAGACAAGAGAAATGATCGGGTATTTTTTATTTCTACATATTGATCCTATGGGGTATATTGTCTTTAAAAAGACCCATCTATGTTTTGGAAACTGAAGTCAAACATCTCTATGCCTGACTCTCACTGAGTAGATTCTAGTTCATAGTGACTTATTTATTTTAGGCAACTTTACAAAATAGGTACCAGTTAGGAGTGGTAGACACCCAGGGCTATATTCCACTCCCTCCCCCAAAAATTAAATCTTTGCATGCTTGGCTCTGCCACCTGATGAACTTAGGACTTGCTGTGATCACAGAAGGAGGGCATTTTATTAGGGAACTCATCAAAGAGCTCCTCCCTACCTCCCAAGGCCTCATGACCCAGAGTAGCTTCTTATTCAGCACGGATTGGTTGATTGGTTTTTGTTCAAGTCAAATTAGTGTTTTATCTGTACTCTTTCTTTAAAAAAACAAACAAGCCCGTATGTCTGAGAGTGTTAAGTATCTGAGTCATTTGCACAGTTTATGTAAGTGAGAGGGTGGCCAGAGATGAGTGTTGGCTTTTTCAAACTGTCCCTAAGTCCAGTCCATGCCCCCAGGAATGGAGGAAGGGCCACCTCCTCTTCCTTCTCCTTTGAGAAGTGCTATTAATATTTGCAATAGAGTTGTGTTAATTAGGCCATCCTCTTTTTTCTGTAAGGAAAGTATGCTTCAAGTTCTAGATGTCTAATTTGCTTAGTTTACAACAGAGGACTCCAAAAGTTAGTGTGTATGTAGGAAAATATATGTCTGCTTTAATACGGAAGTGAAATACCCAGTTCAGTTTTGATGACAAACCCAGGTTTGCCACGAGGAGAGCAACACACATGGTCAGGAGCTTGGATTCCATGGCTTATGAACAATATTAAAAAGAACAAGGGATTTTAGCTTAAAGAAGAAGAAACTTTAGGGACATTGCTCAAAATTTTGAAAGGTATTTTGGTAGAAAAGAAGTCATTTTATGTTACTGAAGAGGACAGATCTAAGTCTGAGAGGCAGAAATGACAAGGAAGGTGAAAAGGATTTTGGAACTAGAGATGGATAACAGTAATAATTGGCTGCCCTTCAAAGTCATGTGCTCCCCATCCCTAGAAGTGGGGCTACCTGGATAGGCAGTTGAAAAGTTAAAGTCCCTTCCAACACAAAGATTCTAAAATTGTGTGAAATGTAGTATTTTTGGAAAATTAACTACCCTCTACATAAGAATATCAATTTTCAAAGGCTGCCTTAGAAACCATTATTTATTGCTTATTTTCCTATTCTAGCAGCACGCTTTAAATGCTGCCCTCCTCTGCTTTGATAAATTTATGCTTTTTCTGACCTTTGAGAACCTTCCCACTTTCATTTACTTTTATGATCCATTCAGTTCTGTAAGCCCTTGTCCCTTGCTCATCTGACATGAGGCAGTATGGGATTGGGGCACTGCTTGCCGTTTGGAGGCAGGTAGCCTGTGTTTGAGTTCCCTGTACTACTTACTGTCTTCACTGTGATGTCATTTGCAAATTACAGAAAGTCCAATAAACAGGCTTAATGAGAGGACTTTTATTGGCTGCGTCAGGGGTCCTTAAGACCACTGCCAGGTTTGAGGAGCACCCACCAAAATTGGGTTTCTTTGCCAGGGAGGAAGGGGATAGGCTGTTGGCTAGGCAGTCAGCAGGATCTGCCCCTGTCTTCATGGGCAAAGCATTTATCCTCTGTGAGCCTCAGCTTCCCTATCTGTAAACTGGGCTAATTATACATACTCATCCCAGGATGGTTGTGACATGATGAAAATGAAGGTAAAATGACTACTTTTCATGTTAGCGATCTGCCCCCTCCTTCCATAAAATTGTTGAGTCTATTCACTCGCAGACATTTTACTGAGACTTCCTTGTCTTTGGTTGCCTCTTCAGTTCAGACCCTCTCCTTATGCCTAAGTCCGTGAAGTGGACATTGTACTCCTCTTACTTCCTGTTAATTACCTACGTCTCAGTTTTTCTAACCACTTAGTAAAAACTGCCTTTAACTTAGTGTCAGCCGATTTCTACACAGTTATAAACTTCTCATCTTTATGAGCATCTTACCTGAAAAATCTCTTGTCCTGCCCTCCCGCTGCCCACTCCCTCCGAGTTTAGAATCCAGGCTGCTCTCTAATTACTCTCAGGAGACCTCCCTCCCTTCTCTGAAGGCCTCAATTTAATGAATAATCTTGCTCCTCTTGTTGTCTTTGAATCCTTTATTTGTCGGTTGGTTGTTTGATTTAGAAATGAAAATCCCTTGATGGCAAGAACTGTGTTTCTCCAGCGTTCAGTGTATTCCATCCATGGAGTCGTTGAAATCTGAGAATTGAGATTACTCTGCTAAAATATCAGCTTTAAAATGACAATCCTCCCTTAGAATAAAAATGATGATTCTAATTCAGAAGGTATTCCTGAGAAAATCTTGAAGGAAATACTGCTCTTTTGGAAATCTAGATTTGTCTATATGCAGAGAATATTTTTACAAAGAAGTGTGGCTGTCTACCCATTTTATCATACCACTCTGGGTAAATAGCCTAATCACAACCAAGGAGAAATCAGGGATCTCCCTAAAGCGCAGCACTTACGTCACTCCCCATCCATCCATTCAGCAAGTACTTACTTAATGATCACTCTGGGGATACGCTTGTGAATCAGACTGCCTCAGTCCCCGCCCCATTGAGGCTTAGGATGGGTCTTCAGTCTAGCTGAGAAGACAGGTTCACTGAGTTAATCGACACAGTGTCATGAATATTGTTGGTCTGGCAACACAGGTACTGAGGGAACACATCTTAGGGATGCCTATGCTGGCCATGGAGCCTGGGAACATTTCTTGAGAAGTGATATGTAAGTGGAGGCTCACAAGATATGTAGATAGCCAGGTAAAGGGGGAGCCAATTCAAGTGTTTCAAACCAAAGGAATGTCTGGGGCCTCCTTGGAGATGTTCAAGGATTTCTTGTAGTCATATGAATATAGGATAGGAGGGGGAATATGGCGGGCATGAGACCAGAGACAAGTAGTGTCCTGTGGTATAGTCACAATGGGTGTTAATGTCATTAACAGATGAATGCCACCAGACACTGGGAGAAAGCCAGTTTAGTGGTAAAGGATGTGGTAAGTGGGAGAGATGGTCATTTGGATCAGGAGATAGTCCTCCCAGATAGCAGCATGAGTCGCCTGATTTTCTGTTATTCCACCCATAGAGTTAGGATTTAATCAGGTGTGCCGGGCTCCCTGTTCCATTCGTATTGGAGTTTTTGTCCCTGCCTGAGTATTGAGTCAGCCCATCTGCCCCCTCAGCAGACGTGAGTAGCAAAGCACAAGACTGCTCTAACCTACGGAGGATTTTCTGTCAGATGAAATTTGAAGGCCAGTTGCCTAGGGGCATCCCCCAGTAAGACCTGCCTGAGGTCGCTTCCTGCAGCCCAGATTCTGTAGGATGTGGACTTTGAAATGATATTTGTCTCCAAATACGCTTTTAGATCATAATGCAAAAAGAGCCAAATGTCTTTTCAGGTCTTTAGGAAAGTTAATTTTGTGTTTTTGTTTTTGTCTTGTAAAGGGGAAAGTTTGTGTGTTGCAGTTTGAATTTCATTCTATATATTTGCTCATTATTATTAGTGAAGAGGATTTATGTTAGGCCTTGCCAAGATTTCTATTTCTTAAAAACTCCCCCAGATTTATCATGAGATGTGTTAATCTAGGAAAGGAGGAGCTCGCTCTTTCTTGTCTTCCTTCTTCTTTCCTTTCCTTCCTTCCTTCCTTCCTTCCTTCCTTCTTTCTTTCTTTCTTTCTTTCTTTCTTTCTTTCTTTCTTTCTTTCTTTCTTTCTTTCTTTCTTTCTTTCTTTCTCTCTTAAACAAGAGAGAGAAAAGAAAGATGGGATACTTAGGATCTTGAAAGGAAAGAAAGTAAAAAGGAGCCTTGACCTTATGATCTTACTGTAAAGTAGGTGGGCAGATTATTTGCTGAGATAAGTTAAAAGTAGAGACTGGAGAAAGGCAAGGCAAGTTTGAAACAGCTACAGGGGTAGAGCTGGGGAGTAGGCTAACAGTCTTTGAAAGCTATGATTTAAAAGCCCAGTATAGATGGCCAATCCACTGAGGAAAGTGGAGTGTTGTCTCCCTACGGTTTAAGAGTCTTATGAGCACTCTTTAAGGGAGAAATCACAAACAGTAACCATTGAACTTGAATGGAGCATAGACTCTTTTTTATTCTTTACAGACTATCTGTTTAACTTTGCAACTGCTGCTACAAAAAAGATAACTGAGTCAGTTGCTGAAACAGCACAAACCATAAAGAAATCAGTAGAAGAAGGAAAGATAGATGACATCATCGATAAGGTACATTTAAATATCTTTTGGAAATAGAAGTTTATGAAATTCATTAGCAGCTAATATAATTATCCCTTCTTCTTATGAACTTTATTAACCTAAGTAAGATATCTTATTCTGATAAAAATATTGTAGAGATTCTTGTTTTTCTCTCTTTTTTGTATAGCAAGTAGCTATAAGTTACTTCATTTAAATAACCTTTGTTTTTATTTTAATATATTCTAAAATACATTGATATTTTTGGGTAATACTAAGCTTTTCATATTGTGAGTTTAATTTTCAGCTATAACCATTTCAGAATACATTTATTCCTTTGCATCATTCCGGTAAGTTTTGAAAGTCCTAGCCCAACAGGAACAACCCTTTTAAGACTCTAAAGAGTGAGTTTGCTCATTTTTTGCAGTGGTAAGGTGCAGGCCTCAGGAATTTCATTTATGTCGATAAATGAACTAAGGAGGTCATCAGTTAAACTTTAGATAGCTTGTTATTTAGATATTTTGTTGTGGGTACTATTTGTTAGAATGAGATTTGACCTGTGTTGTATGGAATAACACAAAAATTCAATTTTTAACTCATTTTATTTTTGCATTTGAAAAGATCGTCTGTCATAAAGGCAGCTTATACTGCCTTTCAAAATGTTCAAAAATGTTGAAGTTCCTCTCTTATTGGTGAAGGGATGGAGTATCACTTTTTTAGTCTCTTTATTTGAAGAAAATGAATAAAATGTCTCAAATAGACTCCACAAATCTTGAATATAATTCTTATCTCATTATAAGCTTTTCAAAGTAATTTGACTCTGTATTTTTTAACAGACAATTATAGGAGATTTCCAGAAGGAACAGAAAAAATTTGTTGAGGAGCAGCATACAAAAAAATCAGGTATGGTATAGGTTTATTATACATGACATAACCTTCCTGCCAGATTTTATCAAGCACCAGTTACATACTAGACACCACACTAAGGCTCTGAAAATACAAAAATATCTAAGTTAGGCCCCCATCTTTCAGGTAGCACAAAGACTAGTGGGGACAAACCTGTGAACCTTCAGGGTTTAAAGGAAGGAAGGAAATTGTTCCCTGCAGCTGGGATAGTGGGTGAGATCACCCCCTCTGGGGACCTAGCTCTGAGAGAGAGAGAGAGTAAGCTTTTATCTCTCACTTTATAACATGTGCAGCACAATGTCTGATGTACACCTAAGAGGCACTCAACAAATGTCAGCTGCCTTCCCATTCTGTTCAGAAGAGAAAATGAAAGAGCTTTCCAGGGGAGTGACAGAGGGCCGTGAAAAGTCATGGAGTATTTGGGAACTAACTTACTGCATTTCTTTACTGACAAATGCATGTTTAAATGTTTGCAGTTACAAAATGTCAGAGGGTCTGCTTTTAACATTTAGTGGTGCTCAAACATGAAACTGGCCTCATATCTTTGAATTTGGCAAAAGTAGTGTAAAATAATTCAGTGGGTTTTGAGCAGTGCCACAAATTCAAAAAGAGCTAGTCAGTCTTGTGGTGAGTTCCTGATAGGCATCATTGCCCTTAGGTACTCAAAAGTATGAAGCAGCTCTTTGGGACAAATAAACTACTGCGCAGGTTAGCATAACTTAGTGATTGATGGGAAGCAGTAAGATTGACTCTGGCTTGGGGACTTGGGGTAGGAGCTGGTTGGTGCCTCTGAGGTGGTAACTGTGGAGGGAGTGGGGGTGAAAGGTTTAGAGGCAGTTTCACTTTTTTAAAAAAAATTGAATGAAAGTAAATCCTTTAGTGCTTTACAATTTTCAAAAGTTTCACACACATGATTTCATACAATCCCGTAATAGCTCTTTTTTCCCACCCTACCCCTGTATTGCCCCTCCCCCACCCTCACTGGCAGCCACTTGTTTGTTCTCTATATCTGTGAGTCTCCTTTTTTGTTTCATTCATTAGTTTGTTGTATATTTTAGATTCCATGTGTAAGTGATATCATACAGTATTTGTCTTTCTGGCTTATTTCACTTAGCATAATGTCCTCCAAGTCCATCCATGTTGCTTCAGATGGCAAATATTCATTCTTTTTATGGTTGAGTAGTATTCCATTGTATGTGTATACCGTATCTTCTTTATCCAGTCATCTATCAATGGCTGCTAAGGTTGCCTCAGTACCTTGGTAGTTGTCAATAATGTTGCTATGAGCATTGAGGTGCATGTAACTTTTTTAATTAATGTGGGGTGTTTTTGGAATATATATTCAGGAGTGGAATTGCTTGAGGTACTTGGTAGACATTCTGTGAGATGAACATGTACAAAGGCAGGGAAGGCTACAAAGGTGGCACGTTGGGAAAACTCCGTTCCTCAGTCACACTAGCCACATTTCAAGTGCCCACGTAGGGCTAGTGACTTCCATATTGGACAATGCAGATACAGAGCCATTTCCATCATTGCAGAAAGTTCTGTTGGTCAGCACTGCTTTAAATTAATGGGACGGGGTCCAGCAGCAGTTTAGTCCTGTTTGAAGCATGGAGGAGAATTTCACATGCTGATACAGATTGTTAGTCAAGTCATGTAAAAACCATGAGAGTAGGTGAGCTCCTCAATGAAAAGTATGTCAAGCATGAAAAGTGCTGAGTAGAGCTCTCCAGTGTTGAGGGGAGGGGTGGGGAATGGAAGGAATTGACAGTTTCTTAGAGCCTGCTGGGCACTTTATATATATAACATCTCCTTTAATAAAAGGAAGGATCAGCAAGGTTAAGTCATTTGCTGAAGGTTGCTCAGCTAGTAAGTGATGAAACAAATCTGCCATCAAAACCAGTACCCATTTACTCAGGAGAGAGAACAGCTGGGGGTGAGAAGCGATGAAGCACAGAGAGGGGAGAATTTCCAGGAGAGCGAGGTCAGGTGACCATGAGGAAAAGCATCTCTTCACTTAACAATCACAGTAACTCTCTGAAGTACTTCCTGTTACCTCCACCTTCCAGTTAAGGAAACTGGCCTGCAGAGAAAAGAGCTAAGAAGTATCCATGGGGCTGGACAACCAGAAGGTTATTGGTCACCCTAAAAAATCCGTCTTAGAGGAATGAGGAGGGGGTGTCATGTCTCATCCATACCAGTAGCTTGGGCCTTGGGAGGACCTCAGTATTCAAGGATAAGTGGCACTAGGAGAGGCTGCCTGAGGTGAATAGACTTAAAATGGACACCAAAATGTTAAACAGTGTAAGAAAAAAGTTTTGAAGGGGCTTTACCCTAACTTTTAAAAAGGCATTAAAAATAATTTGATCTTATAAGTAACAGAATTTGGATTATAATTGACACCATTTGCTTGTTTAGGATGAGCCAAAGGAAGAACCGTGTATCTGTCCATGTGTCCATCTATCCATGCATGTAGATAACTTTTCTGTCATTTGGCACCCAACAGGATGTCTCTTCCATTTGACTTTTGCAGCATTATAGTAAAAGGCACTATTTCTACAAAAATATGAGCTTCCTCTGCATGTATATCTTCTGTGCAGACCACCCAAATCCACAGCCTTAGCTCTGCCCTCTTGCCCTGCTCCAGGCTCAGTTGGTAGAGCTGCTCAGATGAGCTGCGCTTGTTAGTTTTGTCTCCTCCCTTTTACGCTCGCTGCTCCCTCTGAAAACCCTGCACACGCACTGCTGAACTCCTCCTCCTAGTCCAAGATCTGCTCCCAGGTCACCACAGAAACCCAATGGGACTCATCTCTCCAAGCAGTTGCTGTTTGTCATCTGGCGCTTTAATCCTGCTGAATTGTACTCATCTTTCTCATGAGCCCCGGGTGACATAGACCGGGTGTTAGCCATCTTGGCATCCCAGCTTTTTGCTTTAAAGACTTATGGAGGATTTGATCCCAGCCCTGTTTACTGCCTCCAATTTGCCCATTTCTTTCTTCATTTGATTTCACCTCTGACAACCCTTTTTTTCTCAATTCCTAAGTCTTCATCTTGCACCCTCCTTACCACATTTTGTCATGAATCAAGTACAATAATTTTTTATAAAAGCTTTTTATTTGGAAATAATTTCAATTTACAGAAAAATTACAGTAAAAGTAGTACAGAGAACACCTGTGTACCCTCCACCTAGATTTAAACTTTTATTCCATTTTCCTTATTATGTATGTTCTCTCGCTCACTCTGTGTCTTTTTTTTTCCTGTTCCACTCAGTGTGCATTTCATAAGAATTAGGGATAATCTCCTGCATAATCACCAATGGTACAGTTGCCAGCTTTAGATTTAGCATTGATATAATATTCATAGTCTAATTTTGTCAGTTGACCCAGAAATGTCCTTATACATTTTCTTCCTCAGCACAGCATCCAGTCTCAGGTACAGTACTGCGTTTTTTGTCATGTCTCTTGGCCTCCTATAATCTGGAGCATTTCCACAGCCTTTCTTTGTCTTTTATGACATTAGTTTTTTGAAGAATACTCTCCCCCTCCTTTTTTTAAATAGGCCATTCTTCATTTGGGCTTTGCCTGATATTTTCTCGCAATTAGACTCAGATTATGCACTCTTGGCCAGAATACCCTAGGGATGGTGTGCCCTTCCCAAGACGTCACATCTAAGGCGCCCCACAGTGGCCATCTCTTCCTCGTTGATGATGATTTTGGTCACCTGATCAAGGCATTGTCCAGTTTCTCCATTGTATAATTCAAGTAATTTTTTACCAAATACATACAGTTGTAAAATTCATACATTAAGTCTTGAGGATTATGTTGAATATTCATATTTGGAACTTATTAGTAAATTGCTTAAATGGTTGGGTGGAAACTTTCTCATTCTTTCAAGCCGTGGATCGCAGTATAACCCTTGTAACCTATTTTTCTTTTTCTTTGCCATTAAAAACCTTTTAGAAGGAGCAGTGCCCCCATGGGTTGATAGTAATGATGAAGAAACAATTCAACAACAAATCTTGGCCCTATCGGCTGTAAGTATCTTGTGACACCACGTATAGAAATACCTTCTTCCTATCGTAACTTTATCCTTAGCAGAGTGTTTTTCTTTTATATAATTTTTTAAAATATTTTGAGATGTTAGGAATGTACATGTGAACTTTCACTTTTTTTTCACTGACTTATAATTTGCTTCTTATTAAGTTCTTTTGTCTTACTGGAAAATTTAGCCTATTATATAATTCTTTTAGCCATTCTTTTATGTTATTAAGATAATCTTTTGAGATATGCTGTCATATGAAGTTTCTAGACAGCATTCTAATTCTTCTGAATGAAGTGATTATATTCTAAATTTTCTCTTTAACTACTATATGTATTTGAAACTGAAATTGAAAGAAATAAAATTTCATCTGCTGGCCCACATAAATTTCTCTTGGAGCTTCAGAAGGAACGTAGGGATACCAGCTAACAACTGTGTAGCACCTGACAGTTCCAGGAAGCACTTTGTCACACATTACCTCTTTTGAGCCTCACCGGTTGTCTGTGAGGCATATAGGGGCTTTTATCACCTCTGTACAGGTGTGAGGACCGAGACTCTCGAATATGACCCTCACTTCTTATCTGTCTCTCTCTGGGGTGGGAATGGTCAGCAGGCGGAGGCTGGCTTTGATCTCTGTCCCCAACACCCAGCACCCCACCTGGCATAGGACGCAGTGAATATGGCTTTTTACTATATCATTGGTTTTCAAGCTTTATTTTTAACCCACTCTTTTTTTTTTTAAACCAAAGTCATAAATAGAACCTCAGTCTAGAAAACAAACATAGAGCTGGGTTTTACCTCCCTTCCACTGACCCAGGTCATTTCAAGGCATTTTTCTCTCCATTAGTAAACCCTTTAAAGGCTTGAGTATCCATTGTGAGTTCAGGTGCATGCCATGTATTTTGTTTACCATGTTGCAGCCACACCTGACACTGATGTCATATGCCTGCTTATCCCCAGAAGAGAATTGGGCCAGTGAGAGTCAGTGTCATTTGAGGGTAAACATCAGATACCAGTCAAGTCCCCACAGCTCCTCTGTCCCCCAGACCTGTCTGTCTCCTCATCTTCTCCATCTCAGAATAGCACTCCAGTTACCTGCCATTTTTTTCTAGCCACAAGCCTAGGACTCTTTCTTGAGTCATGCCTGCCCCCTATTGTGACAGTGCTGTATTAAGAATATAACTCAAGTCCACTTCCACAGTGCATCACTGTGGCCCTGGTGCCATCATCTCCTGCCTGAGGCCTCCCGACTGTTGCCCCATCCTTGCCCCTTTCCAGTATCAGCACATTTCAGCAGCCAGAGGGGTCCATTTATGGTGAAAACGCTTCACGTCACTCTCTTATACAGACCCTTTTCATGGCATCTCATCTCTAGTAGACTAGAATCCAAACTCCATCCGCTGACTTCTAAGGCCCCTGGCTTCTCACACCCTCATGCCCCACTGCCCTGGTCACCAACACTCCAGCCACCGTTTCTTTCTGGTGCTCAATCAGGCTGAGCTTTGTCCTGCTTTAGTGCCTTATGTTTGCTGTCCCCTCTTCCCTCTTCCTGGAACTCCACCCTGTACCATTCCACAAGATCTCATCTCACATGTCACCTTCTCCTAGAGGCCTTCCCTCACTACCCTTTCAGCCCTGCACTCCCAGTTACCCTGTCTCAGAGCCTTGGCAGCCTAAACCCTTGTGTCTCTCTCCCCACTAACCCACTCCCAACTGTAAGTGCCATGAAGGCAGGGACTGTGTGCTGTGCCCTGCTAGCAGGTAGCATGGAGCCTGGAGCACAGCAGGTGCCAAATGAGCATCTGCTGAGTAGGTGATGGAATGAACCTTGCACCCAGACATGCCTACAAGAGAGCTCACAAGATGTCAGCGTGACCCAAAGGTATCAGTAGGTGTGCTTTGCCCCATGAAGTCACTTACAGGCCTGAGTCCTTCCTATCTTACTCTTAGCCTGTACCAGCCTCTAGGACATTGTCTTCTATAACTGTGTTCCAGCCTGTGGTGATTGGGAAAGAGGTGGTCGTGCCAGACCATTTGAAGGACGAGACCCAAAAAACTGCACCTATCACTCAGGCCCACATCCCTTTGGCACCTTGGACACACAGCCACCCCTGGACGCCAGGGAGCCTGGAAAGTCTGGTCTCTGAGTGTGTGGCCATATACCCAGCTGGAACTCAGAGTTATGATCCTGAAAGATAGGAAAGAGGAAATGGATACTGGGAGATGGTTAGCAGTCTCTGCTGGAGTTGACTTAACATTCTCTGATTTACCAGGCACTAGGTGGGGACAATTCAGAGTGTGTAGCAGAGCAACCCTTTAAGCTCCTTGTATTGGGGGGGCTATGTAGGGCCACATAATACATGAAAAGAAGTGGAGAGTACAGTTGTCCTTAGGTGCTTGTGAGAACTCAGTTCAGCAAACTGAATTTAGTAAGTACTCTAGGCCCAGCCTTCTCCTAGGACGTCACATAAATGAGATACATCCTGCAAGAATCTGCAGGCTTGCTAGAGAGCTGCTCAGTGAATGTACATACAGTATTATTCCCTGTAATGAGTACTGTAATACAGGATGCTAAGGACATGCAGCAGAAAGGAGCATTTCATTCATTTTGGAGAGAGAAAAGAATGATCCCAAGGAAGCCGTCCCAGGAATGATGACACTGGAGCTGAGTTGAGTCTTAGGAGAGGGCACATAGATGTTTTGGGGATGTGGGGCAGGGTTCGGTATTCGGGTCGGGATATTGCAAGCATCGATGTATGACTAGACTGTAGTGAGGAAGTCGACAGGGAGCCAAGGCATGAGGACCTTTTCATACCATTCTGATAAGGTTAGCTTTTATCTCAAAGGCAGCAAGGAGTCCTTGAAGGATGTTAGTCATAGGTAAGATACGTGGTTTTCTTGGGGCAGTGTAGAAAGTGGGTTGCTGTGGGCGGGAGAAATGGGATGGGAGACAGCTGCCCGTTTGGAGGCTGCTATAGAAATGCAGGTGGGACATGGTTGGGGCAGCTTCAGGCTTTGAAATTTTTGTAATGGAAGGTAAATAATAACTAAAATCCATTTAGACTCAGAGTTGTTCTTGCTTTATTAGTTTAGGAATTCTCAAAAACCAAAAATATTGTTAAAATCCAACATGGGCACAGTGAAATGAAACTGATGCTGTTAGTATAAACTGCTGCTGTCTCCTGGAGGACAGTTCGAGCAATATGTATCAAAATAATCGTGCTTTTAGATTAGAAATCCTACTTCCAGGAATTTAGTCTAAAAAGATCACTTTAGAAGGGAATAAAAGCTGTCTATTTGTAAAGTGATGTTGCTTGCAGAATTCTCTGTTAGGAACAATCTCAGAGACTACCTAAGTGGGCCTGGCTAAGTAAATCATGGCTTATTCAGTGTATGCATATCCACATCAGGCATGGAAAGATGTTCAGGACCCTGAGTGGAAAGGAAAAACAGGTGATCTGTAGCCTGTGCGGTCTTCCTGTTTACGTCAAATTGTATTCAAACAGACACTGACGCGGCCTGAGGAAACATTTACCTGGAGTTGTCTGTGGAGGGTGGGATTTTTGACTGTGTTTTTCTTTGCTGCTTTGAATTTTCAAAAAATGAGTATATATCATATGTACAAACAAAAAAGATTTTAAAAAAGAAATAGAGTAGCAACAGTCAGTTGTTTGAGTGGTACAAAACAACAGCCTTTTACCTTGGTTATTTTGCTCTATCTGTAGGAAAGGGGGTGGTTTGGAGACACTCCTTTATATGTTAATCAGTGTGAGTCATGCTTCTCCCCAGAGGAGTTCATAGTCATCCTTATTCCCTAGAAAATTTGCCTAATCCAGGGAAGCTTTGCCTTTGCATATACCACAGCTTCTTTATCCATTCGTCTGTTGATGGACCCTTAGGGTGCTTCCATATCTTCGCTATTGAAAATAATTTTGCTATGAACATTGGAGTTCATGTATCTTTTTGAATTAATGTTTTCATTTTCTTTGGATACATACCCAGGAGTGAAATTGCTCGGTCATAAGGTAGTTCTGTTTTTATTTTTTGAGAAACTTCCATACTATTTTCCACAGTGGCCGCATCAATTTACATTCCCACCAACAGTTTATAAGGGTTCCATTTTTTCCACAGCCTCATCAACATTTGTTATTTGTGGTCATCTTGATGATAGCCATTCTGACAGGTGTGAGATGATATCTCATTGTGGTTTTGATTTGCATTTCTCTGATAGTGATGTTGAGCATCTTTTCATGTGCATATTGGCCACCTGTATGTCTTCTTTGGGAAAATGTCTGTTCAGGTCATCTGCCCATTTTTTAATCAGGTTGTTTGTTGTTTTTTTTTTCATATTGATTTGTATGAGCTGTTTGTGTATTTTGGATATTAACCCCTTATTTGTCATATCATTTGCAAAGTAGATTATTTTCATTTTGTGGATAGCTTCCTTTGCTGCGCAAAAGCTTTTAAGTTTAATTAGGTCCTATTTGTTTATTTTTGCTTTTGTTTCCTTTGCCTTAGGAGACAGGCCAAAAAAATATTGCTACGATTTATGTCAGTGTTCTGCCTATGTTTTCTTCTAGGAATTTTATGGTTTCAAGTCTTACATTTAGGCCTTTAATCCATTTTGAGTTTATTGTTGTATATGGTGTTAGAGAATGTTCTAATTTCATTCTCTTACATGTAGCCTTTCCCCAGCCTGGCCATGATCTGTGGAGAAGCTGCACTGTGTTTCAGTTACTGTCGCATTCCCTCAGTGCAGGGACTGACCTGAGGAGCTCCGCAGAGATTTATCAGGGAGAGCCTGGGCCTCTGGGTTCTGTCAAGAGGTGTGGGGTGAAAGTGTGGTTTGTGCATACTTGAGAAATGAGTTGGGTCATATATTTCACTTTTCTGATATGGTTAACTAACTCTAACTTTGGGTAGAGTGTTTCTAAGATTATTTACACTAATTTTCACATATTTAAAAGTTTTCACATACTGAAACAAATGTATTCATATGATTTCAAATGATATAATTTCAACAGATTGCACAATTGAATTCCTTGGCCTCCCATGAGGCCCTCTCCAACTGAGACTGTTAAACAATATATGAAAAGGTCAGTTGTTCTCTGCTCTCTCTTAGGTGGGCAGGTTAATGACAGCTCAGTGGACTTTGCTCCTGAAGCCTTCAGGAGAATTAACTGATGCGTTGTTATGTATTAATTGCATCCATGGTTTTCCCCATGTTTTTCCTGTTTTCATCAAAGGACAAGAGGAATTTCCTCCGTGACCCTCCAGCTGGTGTGCAGTTTAACTTTGACTTTGATCAGATGTACCCCGTCGCCTTGGTCATGCTCCAGGAGGATGAGCTGCTGAGCAGGATGAGATTTGCCCTTGTTCCTAAACTGTAAGCAGTACCCTCCCCCTGGCACACACACGGAGGAGGGGGCATCGAATTAAAACTCAGGGTGGGCTTTTTGGGATTTTTGGTGTGCAGATGAAATGTGCTCTTTTATGCCCAGTTAGAAGGTAAAACGGATTTTCCTGTAAAAACAACAAATGTGCCTGTGTCCTTCTAAATAAAATTAAGGCCTACAAGGCCCACGAGGCCCCAGCCGCTGCCTTTTCTCCACTCAGGCCCCGCTCCCTGGCAGTGGCGGTCTTGTTCTCTTTGCCACCCATGGCTTTTCTCTGCCCAAAGGCCCTTCTCTCCTCACGAAATCCCTGCTTATCCTTTCAACTCCACTGCACACATAATGTCTTCTGTGACACTGCCATCAGCGGTGACCCCCTTTCCTTTCCCTCCACTTCTTTCTCACTGTTTGTAATTCCAGTGCCTTACTTTGAATCTGCCCCATTTTTAAAGTCAATGGTCTTTTGTGTTCTGTGAGTGCTCCTGTTGTGTGGCACTCTGTGCTGGTTGTAGGAATGCAGTTTCTTACTGTTCCTGAGAAGACACGAAGTATAGTTTTCTTGAGACACCCTTTTCTCTGTGTTCTTTCTCTGAATCTTCGCTTTGGGCTCCGTGGTTCATGTTGCAGGCTTTTCTTACCATTCCTTCGTGGCTGAAGGCACCGCGAGCTGAAAGGGTGCTTGGGGCTCTGTGCTCCCATAGGCCATATGGGCAGGGAGGATTTCCCTGCAGGACATCTCAGCTTCCTGCCTGGCTGCAGGCCTCACATCAGGTAGAGTCTGAGCCCTGTGGCTTCAGCGCAGCGTGCTGCTCCTTTCCTCCGCTGCACCAGCTGTCCCTGATTTGCATGGCCTTTGGCTTCTGGTGAACTGTCAGTCTCTGCCACAGGTGAACACAGTCCCAGGCCTGAAGGGGCAGTGCAGGAGCCATCTCAGCACTCCTTCAGGGCCTCTGCACCAGCCTTCAGAGATGCCTGAGGCCTGCCGTCCCAGCGTCTTTTGTGCTTCTGCCTGATAAACCGGCCTGCTTTTTGTTGGCTGCCTCGCCGTCAGGCACCTCAGCGCAGCTCTCTCTGGTGTACAAGATAGCTTACTATCTGCCCATCAACTTTTCAGTCTCCGCTGTATTTTTCTTGCTGGTTTTCCTTGTCATTGTAGGTTTTATCTACTTAATTCTTTCCTTGTTATTTTAGTGGTGATTTCACAAGCAGCACACATAAAACACGTGTTTGTTTTGCTATGTTTAGCTGGCCTCCAGGGGTTCTAACAAATGTTTGCTAGACTCGGTTCACATAGCAGCACAGATCTTCCATCTGTGAGAGAATACTTTGAAAGTGTTCTTCCAGACTTGAAACAGCAATTACATAGAATCTTTTTTTTTCACACGTGTTGGTGAAACTCTTCTCTCTATAATAACATACTGATAATGAATTTCTACAGCTTTCCCCCACCCTCCCAAAAGAAAAGTATGTGTTTTATGGCTAAAATCTCATTACAAATTTAATCCTTAGACTGTAAAATAGCTATATTTCATTAAGGATATAAAACACTTTATCATCTGACCTATTTTTTACTATTATGCTCACAAAACTCTGGGAGTTGGCCTTGGAACAATTCATGTGTGTATATCTGTTTGTAGATCTTTCATCTTGGGCTCTTAGGTCAGACCTTTCAGGAGTAACTGCCTCTGGGAGAAGAGTAGCAAAGCTCTGGGGTCAGGTGTGCCTGCGCCTGAAGGGCCTGAAGGCTCCCACAACTGGGAGCCAGTTTCAGACCACCCCAGGCCGCACACCGGCTTTCTGCTGGGCTCTCAGGTGCCCAGAGGCCCCGAGGCACTGGGCCGGGAGGCCTGGGGTGCTCCCGGCAGGCCTGTAGTTTCGGTTATTGCCAATTCTTGACTCCTCTCTTGCCGCTGACAGTAATTTTCAATTTCTTTTAAGCTTTGGAGAACTGATATTGGCAAATAGTATTTTTTATTTGTTGCTGGCTAAGTAAACTACCCGTTGAGTTATGTAATTCCAGTTTCCTACTGCTAATTCTGTTAGGGATGATTTAGAAATTAGAGTTAGTGTTTATAAGTCTTTATCTGTTAGAAATGCTTACTGAAGTATTTATGGATAAAAGGACATGCTATCTGACATTGCCTTAAAATATTCCAACCCCATCCAAAGAAGAGCACGTATGCAGGGGAGAGGGACATAGATTTTGAAACGTGTTGAAGTTAGGTCATGGGTACGTGGGGTTCATTGTTCCAGTCTCTCTACTTTTATTTTGTTGAAATTTCCATATTAAAACAAAACAAAATTGAGCCATCACATACCAATAGAAGACTTCTGAACTTTTCCTTCCTGACATACAGAAGTGCTTCTGAACAGCAGCATCATTAACCAGGAACAATTTAGAAAACCAAACAAAATAAACACTTGCTCCATATTTCAAAATGCCTGTTAGCATGTTAGTACTTCCCTGTGACAGCTGGCATGAGACAAGGCCCTGCTGCTGTCACAGGCACCCTCTGAGGCCTTCCCTCTGATGACAGTAGGGAAGCCACAAGTCTTTCCGGCCTCAAGCTTTGACATACGCCCAGTGTTTCCCAGAAGGTGTTCACAGCATACTAATACTTTAAAATGGTCCATGAGAGCATAAGTGGTCAGATAAACGTTTGGGTGTTGCTAAAGTTGATGGATTTCTTTATCATAGAACTTGTCAAAACCTTTAGTATGTCATCTGCTTTGTGACTCTCTCTAGAGGGTAACCGAGTATCTCTGTGGTGTGCCTCTGTGATCACTTCTTACATTGAGAGGGAGAGACTCTGGAAAATAAAACAGTCCAGATGTTTGTTTTTATTAAGAGAGCAAACATTGCGTATGGCCCACCTTACATAGTATACCTGTTTCATTTTGGACTTTCTATAGAGCTCAAAATTAAAACTGACCTTGAAAATATTAAGGCAGCTCACTCCCCCATGGGAAGGCTAGTCTCAGTTTTGTATCACTGTGGTGTTCTGGTTTAAGACCCTTGAACGTATCTGGGTAAACAGCCCTAGTTCCTTCATTTGTTCCCCAGGTGTCCTAGTCTCTGTACCCCGTCACCATCCAGGTGATTAACCTGTGAAAATGAGTTCCCCAAAGTGAATATGTGTTGTCTAACTGCAGAACAGTATACCATAGTGTGTCTTTTGTGCTTTTTAATGCAGCCTAAGATTTTCTTAGCTCTCCTAGCAGCTGTAACATACTGCAGTTTGTACAGCAATGCTTGTAGTTGTCCATGACCCTCTATGAACCATTGTTAAGCCAGGTCTCCCTCCTGCCGATCTACTTCCAAGAGATGTTATGAGAAAAAGAACGGTATGAGGCCATGTGATTATGGGAAATGCTGCTGGACACATAGTAATAACTTGACAAGTAAGAGGGCATTATTCCTGTGGTCATCTGTTTTGGCCAACAGCTTGTCTTATTCATCCCTGAATCCCCCCAGCACCTAGCATGAAGCCAGACGCATGTGACAGTCGGTAAATATTGGTGGAATTAATGAAAGAAAAGATGGGCTGCGTCTAGCTGCATATCATCTTGTTACCTGGCCTGAATTGTGTAGATAATCTTGCATTTTGTCTCTGTCAATTCTGGCCCAGCTTCGCCATTCACAGATGTGACAACCACATGTTCTGAAATCCTATCTAAGGCAAGCCCTGTCCTCATTCACAAACCTGGGTCTCAGTATTTTCTATTAATTCTCACTGGCTTTCTTTTACTCCTTCAAAGTCTTCTGTCGTGTTTTCTTCCACAGCTTTCCCCACCCCATACACCCCACCACATTCCAGGAACTTGCATCCCTTCTAGTAAAGCAGGAGGTGGAGAGGCATTCTCCAACCCTTTTGTCATTTCTACTAGCAAAACATTTTTAGAGCATAAAATGAGACAGGAGAAAACAAACCAACCCACACATACTCTGCAGGTCACCCAAGCCATTTCTTGGCTGTGCTGCTTTTGTGTTTTGTTGGGGGACAGGTGGGGAGGGGTTTTTTTGTTGATTCGTGTTTTGTACATCCTGGAGATTTTTATTTAATTGCTCTGAGGTGAGCACAGTCATCAGTGTCTTTTATCATTATTTTGAAACAACCACAAACTTGTAGAGGAGGTGAAAGTACAGTATAAAGAAGTTTTTTTCTGAATCATTTGAGACCTGATACCCAATCAACCCTGAATTCTTTAGTGTGTATTTCCTACAAACAAGGATTCTCCTACATAACCAGGATGTAACTATCCCAATCAGGAAATGGTACTTATGTGTTATTACCATCTAATTGTCAGACCCTATTCAAGTTTTACCATTTGTCCCAATAATACCCTTTTTAGCTAAAGGATCCACTTCAGACTAGCATGTTGCATTTGGTTTTAGTGCCTCATCTGTCTCCTTGAGTCTGTTGCATCCTGTCAGGTGGCACGTACTGCTGTTTTGTCCCATTACTGCCTACATTTTGGTCACTTGATAAAGAAGGTGGTATCTGCCAGCCTTCCCGACTATAAAGTTACTCCTTTTCTCTTTGAAATTAATAACTATTTTCTGGGGAGGTACTTTGAAAGTCTGTAAATACCTCATTCCTCCTCAAATTTTTCATATATTCATGAATTTATGTATATTTGTATGGGACTCATGGTCCTGTTTTATGCAGTGATCATAATCCATTGCTATCAGTATTTATTTTGATGCTCAAATCATCACCTATTTGCCAGTGGGAGCCTGTTCAAGCTGGTTTCTGTGTCCTTTTGACTCATCCCCATCATTCTTGGAGCATTTCCTTCCTGCCATGAGATAGTCCAAGCTTACCTTGTTTTGTTTTGTTTTTTGTTTGTTTGGTTTCGGTTTCGGTTTCGGTTTGGGGGTGGGGGTTTTTTGGTTTTTGATTTTCACTTGAAAGTCCAAGCTTACCTTGTTCTTTCACTACTTTAACCCTAGAATTGGCCATTTATCCAAGGAGCTCTGGTTCCTTTTAACAGAAAATGGTGTTTAGAAACCAAGGTCTAAGCATTAGGCAGGCTCATTGTTACTGGGATGTCACTACTCCTTGGCCCGCTCAGTGGACAGAGCTAGTGTGCTCATATACACACACACGCACTTGTTTGCATCTCTGTTGAATGAAAACCATGTGTTCACAGTGATACCTCATAATAAGGTTCATTCTGGAATTTTCCTTTTCCATGACTGTAACTACCTTTTCTGATGATGAGAAACCTTGTTTCCACTATCCTTAATATTTTTACTTAATCCCCTGGTGAGTGATCAATCTTCCTTTTTTGCCACCACCCCTCCCCAGCTTAGACACCCTCCTCCCTGCACGGGCTCTCATTCCCCATTCCAGGCCACCCCTATGTGGATACTTACCTTACCTGTCTTGGGTGCCAACACTGCACCCCAGGTGATTCTAGTGCACAGCCAAGTTTGAGAATCACTGAGAGTTATCAGGTTGAACTACACTTCAGTCTTTTTATCAACCATCTTCCACCTCATCGCTAACTCTTACTGATTGCTAGTTATTTGCAAGCTGCCAAACATTTCCTTTCATAAGGAACAATAGCCACAATCCTTCCTTCTCACTGCTTGAAAGCACTTCATCCTTCGGTAAACAGCAAATAATGGGTGGAGGCCTGGCTCTGCTTCCAGTCTCCCCGGCTGCTCTCGTGCTCTCGCAGCAGTCTCCCCTTTTCCTCTGCTGATGGCAGCATTGGTATCTTTAAAATACCGGGAAACGCTGAGGCTTCACTGGTGTTCTGTAAGCTGTCTTTTGCTGCTGTGGAGAAGATAGCTGTTCTTTTTATCCTGTTATTCAGCTTTCAATTCAAAAGCAAACAGGAATTTCCTTTGAGCCTCATTCAGATTGGAAAATGTCCCTAACAATCATCTATTCCAGTCTCCACTGCAGCAAATAACCCTGGCACGCATTTTCCACATGCATTCTCAAATGTGTTGTCTGTCTTTGAAAGCGTTAAGGAAGAAGTGTTTTGGAGGAACTACTTCTACCGCGTGTCCCTGATTAAGCAGTCGGCCCAGCTCACGGCCCTGGCGGCGCAGCAGCAGGCCGCGGGGAAGGAGGAGAAGAGCCTCGGCAGGGACGCCGAGCTGCCGCTAACAGGTACCTCCCGGCGCAGGTGCGCCTGCGTGGAAAATGAGAATTACTTGTAACACATTCTTAACTTTGAGACTTTCACGAGTTTGTCATCTTGTATGTACCCGAAGTGTCATTGTCACCTTAGGGAAAGTTCTTTCCAGAGAAAATACTCGTTGTTCTCTTGTTGCCCTTTCTCTGACCCTGCTCACACGTCTTCCCCAAACTTTTACTTTGCTAGCTTTCCCTCATTCTTTGGCTTTTTTATTTCTTCCTTTATATTTTTCCCTCCCTCACCAGTCATCTTCCCATCTCTTTCCTTGTCCTTTGCCATGTGACTTTTTATACCTTCTGTCCTCCTCCAACTCAGTTCACCACTTATCTTTATTTCTTGATCTTCCATTCAGCCTGATCATTTCTCCAGGTTGATCGTCTGTAGAGCAGAGCTAAGCTCCATTCCACTCCAAGTTATAAATATCCAGCCTGGAGCCAGGCGCCATTCAGTTACACATTTGACTCATCCTTATCGTGACAGTTTTACCCCCAGTCATTGGGGAAAGTGGTTGATAATATCAGCAATGATTTAATATCTGTAGTAATTAAAGTAAAATATGTATTTTGTGTCACATTTTTAACATTTAACAAGCACATACTGTGTGTAGGTACCAATTATTATAACTGGAGACTTACTCATTCGTGGAATTTTAAATGATGACACAAAACAGTGTGTCCTTAGGCGCGGGTTGTGCAGACACTCAAAGAGCACCTGACACTGCCCCATACAGCAGCGTTGGGCATTTGGCAGATAGATGTTGATATGAATCCCAGTTGTCTCTCATCCTTTAGTATTTCCTCTTTATTAATATATTGGAAAATGCCGTCTTCCAAATACTGCCTGTATAACTAAGTGACCTTAAGACGGGGTTCAGTAAAGACTGTACATGTTGTAAGGTTGAGAAGATAGAAAATGCGGCCTGTGACAAAGAGGAGCTGCTGTGACTGGGCCTTACATTTTACTTTGTGCTCTCCAGCATTCGTGACGAAGGGAAAACTTGATAAATAACTTCATTCTCACCCTAAAAGAAAGAGCAGAACTGTTCTTCAATGAATTTTGCTAACACTGAAATCAAAATTTATTTCCTGCTGGAAATCTTATATAAGGGGCATTGAATATGATGATATATTAAAAATATCCCCAAAGGAAAGAGGTTGAGATGGTTTCTCATAATAACTTGAGAAAAACAGAAAGCGTAACATTAAAGGCTCTTTTCTGAAAAGTATTTAGTATCATCATACTTGTGGATAATTTGGTTGTTATTATAATATGTATTCAGGATTGAATCAAGCAATTATTGTCTCTTTTATTCTCACTTCTTAGAGGCAGTACGGCCCAAAACGCCACCTGTCGTAATCAAATCTCAACTTAAAACTCAAGAGGTAATACAGCTTTACGTTATACCTAGTAGTTGATGTCTGGAAATGAAGTCACTCTGTGTTAAGTATCTCAGATACCATTTCAAAACTACTTACAAATGTGGGTCTTAACTGTTCTAAAGAAGAAGGGTCTGGTCCTTGAAGAACTAAGGACTTATAGCTGAGACGTCAGGCGATTTCCTGGCATGAATAATTCTAGATGTGCACATCAGGGATTGGACAGAATGATTGCAGTGATCAAAACCATGAGTGAGCGTATAGATAGAGCTGGCAGTGCGTCTAGTTACTGAGTCACTGCAGGTTAGAAGGTGGTGAGCAGTGACCACTCGACTAGCAGAGGAAGGGAATGAAAATGATGCTGCGTTCAATTGTGAGAGGACCATAAACAAGAGCTCTGTGCATGTCACTTAGAAAACCATTTCCAGAGCTCATTTGTTGCATTTCAGGATGAAGAGGAGATTTCTACGAGCCCAGGTGTTTCTGAGTTTGTCAGTGATGCCTTTGATGCCTGTAACTTAAATCAGGAGGATCTGAGGAAGGAGATGGAGCAGCTGGTGCTGGACAAAAAGGAAGAGGAGACAGTTGCACTTGAAGGTACAGAACAACCAGAACCACTGTCCTTGTCCTCAGTGCCAAAGCTGACTGTAGAAGACTGTTATTCTGAAGCAGATAGACAAACCTGTGTTGTAACTTCTGCACCAGAGCGGCTTCTCTGTTCCCCAACAGAAGGTGGATTCTAGCAGACATGACCAGATCTCAAGGCCCTCTGCCCTAAGCCCAGAAACATAGAGGAGAAACTGAGACCCAGAGGGGTTAAGTGATTCTTCCAAAGCTTCTTGGCCCCAGCGCACGTGGCCAGGAGCTGGCAGGAAAGCCAGCTCATCCCTTCTCATGGAGATGCTGCCCTCCAGCCTCCTGCTGGGGTTTATACTGTATGTAGAAAACCCTCTCCCCAGCTGCTGTGTGCCCCGAGAGCATGGCTTCTCAGAAGGAGAGGACTGCCTTTAAAAATAAAATTGATTTAAAAACTAAGGTAGTTTAGAAAAAAAGTACCAGCCATGGGACTGCTTTATTTGGCACATCAGGACAAATTACTGGCCTTCTCCTGGATGACAAGCAAAGGCTTGGGTTAATCATCATTCATGAAGTCTTCTGAGACTTACAGTTCAGGAAGCTGGCTCTTCCCACAGTTATGCAGAGAGCACTGGTGAGAAACTAGCCTCCCCGAGGTGAACCGGAAGCCCATTTGCACACTGCACCCTGCGGGGGCCCTCTGGGGGAAAGAACTGGCAAGGAGGGAGGAGCCAGAGGGGGCAGAGGAGAAAAGCGAGTGGGGAAGTGAGAATCTGGGCTCCCTACCCTCAGACCCCTCCCACCCACCCCCACCCCCATCTGTTTTCTGAGAAGATGGCTGCTGGCCACCTTGGAAGAAGGAGGGCCTCAGCCCCGGGTGTAGCAGGCAAGGGCTAGAGCAGACTGTGCCCTGGTTCCTTTTCTGCTGCTGCTGATCCTCAGCAGAGACCCCACCGAGACTGGAAGGAGCACTGGGTCAGGATTCACATGGTATTGGCTGGCTGTTCCCAGCAAGCTATTCTTTCTCTGAATTCCTACCCTCATTAGAACTTGGACCACTTAGTATTCTTCTACATGTAAGGTGTCTTGGCCCTCTGTAAGTTCCTCAAGAGCAGTCACACCTTGTCTTTTTATCCCCCATAGCACCTAACATGGAGCTTAGCACCCAATAAGCACCTAATATTTGTGAAATCGGTGGTTTGCTACCCAACACACAGTGCCTTTTCCCTTGAGGTCACTGCTGTAAAAATTTTAAACATTTGGTTTCTGTTTTCTTTATAGCTAAGTTTAAGGTTAATTTTTAAGAGTTGGAAATGAATTTTAGCTTTTACTTTTTAAATAGCTGCTTTGTTTTCTGGCTGTTTTGTAACGCTGCATAGCAGATCCCTTATTCTGTATGTATGCCATGCTTGTATATTGAGCACCCAAGGAGAAGGATGCAGCTCTGACTCTCCCCAGTGTGAGAGCTCAGGTGGAGCCTCCCAGGAGGGGCCGGGCTTTGGTGAGAGACCACCTGACTTCAGGTCCTTGTGTCTGTTGCCACTCATGGGAGATAATTAAGCACAGACTGTGGTTCCATCCATATGTCTGTCACTGGCAAGCTGTGTGACCTTAGGCAAATCACTTAACCTCTAAGCCTCCATTTCCCCATCTGTCAAATGTGTATAATTGTGTATCTAGTCCATGGATTGTCCTAAGGATGAAAAGAGTGATATAGAGAGAGTGGGTAGCCCTAGGCCTGGCTGAGTGAGTGCCCTAGAAATGTTAGCTGTTTTTGCTACCATTGTCATCATTGGTCATGGTAAAAATTAATTTGCGACCAAATATTAAGTATCAATTATCCATTTAAATAGCAGGAAAATCAGAGACCTAGGTAAAGAAAAATAATACCCCAAATTTACTGACTTCTGATACTTTTGCTTCTGTGTTTAATAAATTTATTGTTCTAATCTTATTTCTCTTTGGCCACTGTTCAGATTTGTTCAGTTTTTCTGAGCACCCTCAGTGCTGAAGCCTGAGACGGTAAATATTTCCATGGTTAGGACTTAAACAGGTAATTATAGTGGACTGCATTGTTGGGACCGGTATTAGGAATTCAGTTTTTATTTTTTCTCATTTGTTTCTTTCAGAGGATTCTGCAGACTGGGAAAAAGAACTACAACAGGAACTTCAGGAATATGAAGTGGTGACAGAATCAGAGAAACGAGATGAAAACTGGGATAAGGAAATAGAGAAAATGCTGCAGGAGGAAAATTAGCCATCTCCTGAAATAAAAGAATAATCCTTAACATTCTGTAACTGACATTAATTTCTAGATGTCGATGCTTGCTGAATCAGAAGGCACAAAAGAATATAACTTTATGAAATTCAAAATTAGTCTTTTTTTCAAGCTGAAACTTGCCTCTTCTACTTAAAAAAAGTACATAGGACGGTTATTCTAATAATCAAAAAGGGATGTTTTATGTAACATTTCTTTAGTATAAATAGTCTAACTAGAGATGTTCTTGTAGTTGATGCAGACATCTTTGTCACAGAAACATAAGTAAAATTTTAGAGTTCTGTTTTCCGTGAGGTCAAAAATATGATATATTCTTCAGTTGTGGTTTTCTAAACATTTGTACTTCTTGTTGCATTTTTGTTGATACATATATGTTAAAGTACTTATCTAATGGATCAATAACTGTCAAAATGACCAAATTGTACCAAAGAACTTAAGAGGAAGCACTTTCAGAACTATTTTCTTGCAAGTATTTTCTAAAATTCCATCTGGAAACCAAAAGATAAAATAATTATGTTGATTATAATGATACAGACATCACACGGTTTGACATGGAGAAATACTGTGCAAAAACATTTGTTTTTCTTCGGGGCCTTTTTTTTAAACTATACCACATTTAATACTGTTTTCCTAAATTTTACGTCGTGGTTTTTGTAGAAAGCAGGGCCTTTCATCCTTTTTGTATTAATGACTGTCACAAGCCCATTCACCTTAAAGTCTCCTGTTGTTTAAATCGTCATCACATACAAATGTTTTTTGCTTTTTTGGTCTTAATTAAACTGTCAGTCTTTATAAAATTGTGTTGTCTGAGTACAACTTTTGGAACTTAATTGGTCAGTCCTGCCTGGATTCCGCTCCACCAGCAGGACCGTTCACAAAACACGGTTACTTGAAAAGGACAGGTGGCTGAACATCATAACACTCCATGGCATTTGCTTTCAGTAACTTGGGTTTTTCAAGGAGCCTTTCATAAAGGGGAATAGAATGAAGGTAATTCTTTATAAGAAACATGTACATATTTCTGTTCTTGAAAAATTAGTCCCTGGTCCTTTGGCAAAGATATAGTCAACTAGAGAATTGGTGAGGGTGCAAGCCTTACTCTTGGGTTTGTATTTGGGATCTGCTTGTGCGAATAAGTCAGACTTCCTCGGCGAGGACTGCAGGTTTGTATCTGATGAAACCCCTGACCCCATCATCGAGAGATTTCCACTTTTGGTGCCACAGTTTCTGTTTACTGAGTTTGAGCCCAGAGATGGGTCTGGCAATTTCTGAAATAATCCCATTGAAGGGAAAAATTTCTTTGCTTTTTAATAGAGTTTTCTAGAGGGGAAGAAATACATTAAATGTTTTTAAGTAGTTAAAAATCCTAAATGTAAGCAGATCAGAATATGACAGTGCTTAGCTGTTAGTATATGCACTAAAATTCTTATCGATGAATATTGAATAAATACAAAAAAGGAAAGTTTTCAGAGAAAGAAACAAAACCTAAAGTGACAATTGAAATATGTATGGTTGTTGCTATCAATTTTACATGATACTCCTCTTGCCTGATTGTCTATTGCCTAATTGTGTGTTGTCCTGTGGAAATAAAATAAGATTTTATACACAGCATAAAAATACAGTTATACTATATTTTTATGGATTCACAGGTAAGTGAAGTGTTACTCTTTTAAAGGGCAAAATAATTTGTAATCATGTTTGGTGGGAAATTTCTAAGTATTTATTACCTGCTTGCGGGGTTAGCCAACAAGATATACTGTGCATAAAAACACATGAAACAAACAAACAAAAAAATACATGAAACAAAATAGGAATACACTTCATTACTGGGAATTACACCTCAGTACTTGGAGTGTAGCTCAGGTAGCAACCGCATCCTCCTCCTGCCCTGGGAGCTTCATAAAGGGGAATAGAGCTAAGGTTAGACTTGCAAGGTCTCCGGCCCCACCCCAGACCTGCTGGCCCAGACCCCCAGGGATTAGAATGGACTTTACAGGTTGAGAGATGCAGGACTAATGCACAAATGCGCTCAGGGCAGCCGAGCTTTTTACTTGTTCTTACTCCTTCACTAGCGTCCTCAGGTGACACTGCCCTTCTAGTTGGCATTATAGGTACCTCTGCTGTTTCAGTTAAGAGGAACCAAGTTCCGGGATGGAAGTGGGGGGACAATGAATAATCCTGCTACAGCAGCTATTTCTAATACCACATTTCAAAGGAAAATGGCCACTGTGAAGCGCAGAGGTGAGGCTTTGCGAGAACCATTTTACGTGTTCACAAGCTTTCTCTGAGGTTCTTGGAGGGCATGGGAGGGCTGATGTGCCTGCCCTGAAGGCTGTGAAGGATGGATGGTGTGTTTTATGCATGAGAAATCAAGTAACACAAGTCATTTAAAAGGCAATCGAGCATTGAACCAAACTAAGTCTTAAAGCCTATTTTGGGCGCATGGAGTCAATACTATATGAGAATTAACAATATCCATTTAAATAAAATAAAATTAAAAATCCATTTACTTGCAATTACAGCAGTTGATGGCAAGTCAAATCCTCAGCTGACCCTACTGGTCTCATCAGAAGGTTGTGCGCTGCTACAGTGGACTTGGTCACAATGTCATTATCTCCTATACTCAGAAGTGGTAACTTAAAGTGAGAAGTCTCAATTTATAATAGTTGAAAAAGTAAACTAGAGAACCTTATCTTTTAGGTGAGAAAGCAGATATTTGTACTCATCGTGCTTTCAGATGCCGTGTTGTAACCAAGATGCTTTTTCACAATCAAAATATCATTCAAATAGGATTTTTTAAGAACATTTTAAAGGTTTACCAAAAGAAAACTTAGGATTTCATCCAACTTGCAATTTTTTATTTGCCTCCTTGACTGCTTTTGGTTATGAAAAAAACAGGACTCTAAGTGGGCTTCTATAATTTGAGTTACTTGATACAGTTGCTCTTTCTGGTGATAGATTTTTTTCCCTGCATTTTTAAGTAAAGACACATTTTTCAACTATGAAAATTAGATGCATTCAATTTTAACAAATTTATTTTTCAGTTTTAAAAAATAGGTGGAAGAATAGCTCAGTGGTAGAGTGCATGTTTAGCAATGCATGAGGTCCTGGGTTTAATCCCCAGTACCACCATTAAAATAAATACATACATACATACATACACATACACACACACATATATATATACACACACATATATATATACACACACACACATATATTAGAAATTTTGATGTAGTTTATATAATCAGTTTCATTGGGAGAAAACAGACCATTTAAAATATTTTTTTCAAGAGAACAAATCTACACTTTTATTTATTTACTTTTCAATAAGTATAAATTCTTGAGGGGTACAGCATCACACGGATTCTGTGTCCAATGGCCTTAGCAGGAAGATTGCTTCAGAATTTGGCACGAACCGTGCCACTGTTTCCATGAGCACGAGTTACCTTTCCTCAGATTACTCTGGATTTGTTTGGTTTTCCACCAGGAGTAACTGTTGTTCTTTGCTTTGTACATATAAGCACATCTCTTGCCCAGAACTTAAATTCAGTTTCATCTCCAGCATAAACACCTTCAATTTTAAGAAGAGCTGTGTGTTCCCTCTGGCTCCGGAGACCCCTCTTATAGCCAGCAAAAATGGCCTTGGACCACAGCCTTCCAGACATATTTATCGTTTTAGAAGTCCTGTTCCCAGAAGGCCTCCACAGTCTCCAAGATGGCTGAAAGAGAAAGACCATTTTAATTTTAATGAATGATTACTTCCACAGACTACATTGATATGAAGAAAATAAAATTACAAAATGTTTGTTATCCCAAAAGATGGTGCTTAGAAAACTAAGTCATAGCAGATGACAAATACATACCCATGAAGATTTAAACACATGTGGTTATATATTTCTCACAAATTAAATTAGTTATGTGATCTTCACCCTAAGGAATTTGTTTAGATAAAGCCATTTTAGATTTTTTTTCATTTAAGATTTTTTAAAGTCGATCCTGTGTCCTAAATGTTATCCTATTTTAAGAGAGGACTTTGTGAAATAGATACTATTCTAATTGTCTTCAAAGCGTTTTTTTAGTTTCTGAAATCTACAGTATCTTGGGATTTCAGGTTGAATATGGCAGATTAAATATGTGCATTTATCTCCACTCCATCCACAAAACCCCACTAAATGACAGTAAAGGAATGAAAAAGAAAAGTAGAAATTCATATTGAAAAAAAAAAACAAGGTAGCAGGTAACAGCGGCTGGGTGGTGACAAGGATATTTTAATGCTTCTGAACCCCATAAATGCTCAGGAATTCTGAGCTACCTCTGAAGGCTGAGGCAAAGTTGGTATTAGGGTGGGCAACTAACAGTGTCTGCTGTAATTTAAAACAAAACCGAAAAGAGCAGTATAAGCATGAGATAGAAAAGCAAACAGATGAAACTGCTAAGGGTTTAAAATGCTTGTTTCTGGGAGGTGGGAATTGGGATGGGGAAGCAAAAGTCGAGGGTCTGCTCTTCTGAAAGCCTTGTGTCATTTCATTTTTAAATTTAGGTATATACATCATTTAGAGTTTTTTAAGCTGCTTTTGACAAGAGTGTGGGAGGAAAGGTATGCAAACACTGTAGATGGGAACCTAAAATTGTAAAATCTTTCTGAATGGCAGTTGAGTAATATGGATCAAATTTTTTAATGTGTGGAAAATTTAGTCCAGCATTTCCACTCTTGGAATTTATTTTGAGGAAGTAATTGGACAACTGCTGATTTGATTATAAAATGGAAAAATTGGAAGCTATCTACACGCCCTGCACCAGAATCTTGATTTGAACAAGTCATAGCCATCCATACAATGGAATTATATGCAAATACTTTAAACAGTGGATTTCACACCCTCCAGATGGTCAAAAATTGTAAAAGCCTGAAAAAAGCAAGAGTTGCTGAGCATGTGAAACAACGGAAAGGCTGATATACTGCTGGCGAGTGGGTACTGGTACAATACTTTTGGGAAAAAAAGCAAAAACTGGCGTTACATAAATGAGAAGTCAAATACACACTTACTTGATTAGCAATTGTTCTTCTAGGGAGTCTAAAATATGATTACTATTATTTAGTAAAATGGCAGATAAATCAAAGGATAGGTTCCATGTTGCAACTAGTAATAGGTGCAACAACATCCCTAAAAGTGTTCTGAAACCCCCAAGCTGCACCCAACCTAAGTGCGCGAAATAACGCAAAAACATCTACGTCAAACAGAAACTTTAAAAAAAAAAAAAACCAAAACTCACCAACACAAACTTATACATGAAATATAAAAACCTACACAGAATGCCAGAACCAAAAAAACTGACTATTATAAAAACCGGCTAACTATGCGCATGTAATACAAAATACGCGCCTATACACACAGACCACATGTACTAAAATAAAGTTGAATAAGTCTGTTTTTTCATACACAAATATCAGCCTTACTGATTGTAAGGCCTCCAAAAATTTTTCAGTCACTCAGCCTTTACAAGACTCTTAGACTGACCATTATAGTAAAAGGAAAATCTCACACAAACATGAAGGAGAAACATGAGTGTGAATAGCGCGACAAGTTCGGAGAGACAGTAATGAGGGCACTGCCACTCCTAGAACAGTGAGGGTGACTGTAAACCCGGGTCAAGAGCCTGCAGCAGTTTTTTTCAGTGAACTGGGTAAGCACTTCATTCTTTGAAATAATAGGTGAAAAGAAAATCTATGGCTTGGGTGCCAAATATATTGCGTGCAATGCATTACGGTTATGCAAATGAAGGCTGAGTCACCGCCCCCCAGAGTCAAGTGTAACTCCCGAGCTCGGCCCAAGACTGCTTCCCGTCCCATCTACCCGGGACCCTGACTCCAGTTCTGCTCATCAAGGCTCTGAGAGTAATTTTTTTTTTTTTCGATAAAGGATTTTGTTGACCGCTTACAGTGATGTTGGAGCTCTGTATTTGACACGCGAGAAGGTTCACCATATAATATCAAATGAAATATAAAAGACAAGCTACAAAAATATATTTGATATTACACTTTTTCTTCCAAAAATAAATGTGTATGTGTCTGTTGGGCATGTATGTGCATAGAAAAATGCCTATACAAAAATTAGACTTACACTAAAATATTAATGGCCGTTATGTCTTTATGTTAACACTATTTTTTTTGTCTGTTTTCAGAAATTTCTGTGCTTGACATGGAGAGAAAATAAGAAAAATCAATAAAATGACTTCATAATAAGCAAAGATAAAGAAGTAGAAGGAAAGGATAATAAACATAACAGAAGTGCAAGACAAAGAATCAAGGAAGCCAAAATGATTTTTGTAAAGATTTGATCAAGGAAGAAAAGAAGGCGTAAATAATATCAGGAACGAGAAATGGGATATAATCAAAGATATGAAAGTGTGGCTGAACAGACTGGCTTCCTTTCCAGTATCATTTCTCTCCTTTCTCTTCACTCTGCATTATAAGGGGCAGCAATGTGCTCAGTTTGGGGAAATAAAACTACATTTCCTAGTCTCCCTAGCAGGTGAGAGTGGCCAGTGAGAAGCAAGGAAAAGTCTTTAGGGGAACTTCCAGAAAACCTGAGTCAGCCTCCTTCTTTCCTCTCTCT